GAGCAGCAAACCAATCAGCCACTACGCCGTAGTGGCTGATTGGTTTGCTGCTCTGTACTAGGCTTCCAGCGCCCTTGCAACCTCGTTGTTCTGGTTTGATCGTGAAGCAAGACTGGCCAAGTCTGTCAGATACCCGCGAAGCACATTGACCCTCTCGGTCACAACCACAGAGTACGAGCTTCCCAGCTGTCCATGCATACCTGCCCGCTCTTTGCAACCTGATGTTGCCACTGTGTGGGTCAGGATGCCCTGGTCCAGCCTCTGCCAGCCACAGCAAATCCCTGACGTACGTCAACAAGAAGGAGATAAGCTGAAATGGCTGAGACGGCAAACTGCATCGTATGGGCTTCCCCTCGAGCTCTCTTGCACGAAAAGCAACACCTAAACCCCTTGTAGACTTCTAGACGTACGTGCAAGTTTGGGTCCTTTGGCGAAGTTGAAGTGCATACATCGACGGTTTGGCAGTGTTCACTCCATGGTGAAGCTGCCCTACCGCAGTTGCAGCTGCCACTGCTTGGGCTTCACGTCGAATGCTACCCAAACCCTGCAAGTGCAGAGAACGACCCACCACATGTTTTCGTGCTTGCTTAAGTTCGAACAATTCGGGGACGAAGACTTCCCGTTCCAGTCCGTTCAAAAGCTGCGGCAAATCTGAAAGTCGGACGTCGTCCTGAGGCTTCTGGGTCGCTGTGAAGCGGGCGCGGACAACAATTAGTCCGCCGCAGTGCCCTCGCAACACCAAGTGTCTTGCACCCATTATGGTTTTGCTCTCCACGATGTGGCGGTGTCGGAAGCTTTCCATAGTTGGGCACGCTGAAGATGTTCTCACAGCCAACACTTCAGCTGTGAGCACAAATGCAAAAAAGACACCGCGCGCAACATGGCGTGCCATGATCCAATGATCCCTTCTTTGGGAGAGCACACAGCTACACGCAGGGCAAAACGATTCGAGACCCTGAGGTTTTAGGGAATATACCCTGAATATCTACGGGTTCTGCTGCTACTGCTGCCGCTCTACCCTCCATGCGAACTTCTCAACCAATTTAGTCTGAAACCCTGCATCAACGAAAAGGCCACTACCTTATCAAACCCTCTCCGCGGAAACTCATCTGAATCCTAGCTAGACCATCCTGAACCTGCTTAACCCCAAAGAAAACTATGTGGTTAAAGCCTGCAACCCCACCTCCGCACCCCCGCCCCGGCCGTGTCTTGGACACTTGCGGGCAATTTGACATGGCTGCGCTGCTTAGACCTGAATGCACGAAGAAGCCCAACCGCGTCAACTAGCCCCCGCCCCCTTGAAAACCACATAAAACGTTTATCCCCCACCAGAAACCCTGGTAGAACCCCCACACCGAGGCACCGCATCCAGTAGCGGATCGAGCTCGCAGCTGGGGCCTTTGAAAGGTTTCGAGTTGGTGAAGCCTAACTCTCTCTCATGCAAGTCTTGAAGCTTTCAGGTTTTAGGTCTCAGAAGCTTAAACTGTAAGTTTTGAGCCTTAAACCCTAAACCCTAAACCTAGCTTCAGAAGCCAAACGGGTTTAAGGCTTCAGGGCTTGGGCCTTCGCTATACGCACTCTTCGGACGAGCCTGACACCTCCAACCCAAGCCACAACCATCAAAAAAAAAAAGGGTCTTGGTAACCAGGCGAGGACTTCGGGCCAACAGGTTATGAAGTACAGCTCGGGGTTTAGGAGTTGGGTGCTTGGGTCTTCTTCGGCGCTCCTTCTCTGCTAGATCTTCGGGGGAGCCGCAGTGCAGGGTTTGAGGGCATGCAAGCGCCCAACCTGGCGTGACCACGGGAAGCCAATTAGCGGGCCTGGGTGGCGGATCTGGGCTTCTTAGGGTTCACGGTTCAATGTTTGGGGATTTAGGGCTTCTTTCCCAGCAGTCTTCAGAAGAGCTTGCCTTCGAGCTGGCTTCGAAGTTGTTTGCAGGATTGATATCAAGGAATCCCCCTTGTGGTTCCAAAAGCGCGTGCGACGGGTTTTCAGTTAGCGGCCTGCCTAGGAAAAGTGCCACGCAGATGGGGCCAGAAGTAGTGCAACTTTACGAGGACGAAATACTTCAAACATGGTTTGGCGGTGCCTTTGGCATTATATTACAGCACAGAACCCTAAGGAAACTGTCTTGCTGATTACCCAAGCTTCTATAATCTAATCTTCTACATAAACCGTTGACAGGATTCTACCGATGCAGCGGTTTGCAATCGTCACTGGCTGCGGGATTCCGATTCGGAGTTCCACGAACCTGCCGGCCCGGGCTTTTTTACCACCTGCAACTCAGGGTTTAGGGTCTAGGGTTTAGGGTCTAGGGTGGAGGGCGCAATAACAACCCAAGAACCGTGCACCGTAATACTTGCAACCGTCGATGCTCCTCCAAGTGCAACTCCAGTCACCCTCGAAAGAGTTGAGAAACCATGAGACCATATGCCTGCCCAATGCGACTCTGACCTTCTCATGTTCAACCTGCTTGGACATTCTGAAAATGTCAGGACCCAAAACCGGCTCTGCCATAGCCCAGTAGCAGCCCCACAGGCTCGGCGGGCGGCACCTGCAGAAGGTTTTTTTTTGGCCTTCTGAGCTGGGGTGTATTGTGCTGCATGCTCCCCTAAACCCTAAACCCTAGACTCCAACCCTAGACAGCCCAAGGAATCTCCCTTTTTCCGCCGGCGGTGTCAGGTCCCCATGCCACCGGTCGGCTTCGGGACAAGCCCCAATCCACCCCGCGCAGTCAGCCTTGCCTTAATCATGATCATACCCATGGTCAGAATTTTAAGAAGATGATGACAAGCACTCATCGGTGGTAGTAGTAGTAGTAGTAGTAGTAGTAGGCCGTAAGTAGCTAGCAACAAGTAGTAAAGAGTAGTCATAAGTAGTAAGTGGCAAGCACGAGGAGAAATAGAAACAGTCACAGAGTATAACGTATTCGTAATAGTGACGGAATGGTTGTAGTATGTTGTAGTGGTGGTAGCAGGCAGTACTACGATTTTACTTATAACTTATGTTAGTGCCGGTAGTGCTAGAAATGGAAAAAGTCAGAGTAAGCGTAAGGTTACAAATAAGGGTCCGGAAAGCAATTAACAACACTTAGCACAAGCTTCGATTTCGGGTATGACCTCAGATTTGCCTTGTTTATGACCAGCGAGAGCATCAGGGTGCTCTCTACGGCGTGGCGGTTGGTGGCGTCAGATCCGACACTGAACACTTGCAAACCGATGCGGGGTTTCATCCCTTAAGTGAAGAAAGCTGTATAATTAATATATTACAACTCTGCTATATTATTTTTATAGTATAGTATAGTATATTATACGACTTCGGGCCTAGAGATGGCTCAACGGCTAAACCCTGGCGCCCGAAGCGCCGTAGCTGGGAAGATCAGACGCCACCGTCCGCTGAGGTCCCCGGCCTACCCACACTCCGTAGGAAGGCGGCAACCTGCTTGGAGTCGCTAGAAGCCGCCGCCGACGGTGTCGCTCTTGTAGCTCCGGACCTGCATCACTTTACCGGCACGGATCAGGTGCTCCACGTCGCTGCGCTTGACCAGCATCTGGGTGCCGGGACGAAATCGAAGTGGTCCGCTTTCCAAGCTCTGGATGCCCTCCATGGTGGGATCGGCCTTCAAGACTCGCACCTTGACATGCAGCCCGTCGTTGGGAGCCTGTCCCGCATCGGCCGTGAGATCCAAGGGAAGCTTGCAGTCCGGGGTGTAGCGCTTCATGTACTTGTCAAGGCTGTTGATGTAGTTCTTCAAGTACTGCTTTTCTGCCTCGTGGAGCTTCCCAAGCTTGTCGGGAGGCATCATGAGGCCGACCTGCCATCGCAGCTTCTCGATCGTCTCAGCGCGATAGTTGAGGTAGCAAAGCACCATCCGCTTGTTGCGATGCATGAGCTCGTCATAAAGGTACATGCCCGAGAGCACTTCATTCTCGTTCTGGTCGTCGGACTCTCTGGCCATCCTCTTCATCTCAGCGTTGTCCTCCCCAGTAACCAAACGAAACAGAAGGCTAAACTTTAACTATGACCGGCCTGACTAGACTATACTATGAGAGCCTGACAGCTTTCTTTCAGGCTGAACTACGTGTCCTGTCTTATCTCCTCGATGACCTTCTTGACGTCCTTCTCGTTGAACTGGGGAAGCCATCGAGAGCGCTTGAGGTCCTGGAGGAGGCCGATCGCTGTATGCCCGTGCAGCGTTGGAGCAGGCATGGCAACAGCGCCCGAGTCCTAAATCGAGGCCGCTCCTGATCTAGAAGTGCACTTCTTGAGCTGTGAACCTTGTGTTGCACCTCAAACTTGCAGCAGGGTATTCTAGGCGTCGCAGGATCGCAGGAACTCCTGGAACTGACCACGGCTGCAGAGGAGGCACACAAAAAGCGCTGAGGGCTGCTTTTTGGCGGTGCTGCGTGCCGAAACACTGTCGTATCGTGGCTTCAAGCTGGAACCCAGGGCCTCCTCGGGTGGCATGTCAAAGAGCCTCCGCTTCTTGCGCTTCGGCTTTGGCCTCAGATGCTCTGAGGGCTTGGAGGTTTAAGTTTTGGGCCGTTTTTGGGCCTGTCGGGTTTCTGCAGGTCGGGGCTCGAAGAGCTCCCTGCTGCCCTGTCAGTCTGAGGCACATACCTGGAACTTCTTGTCTTGCATGATACAGGGTGTTTGGCTGAGCGTCCCTTTTTCCGATAAATGCTTTAGGGCGTTTGGACTCTCACGACTCAGCAATGCAGGCGAGGCTGTAAAGTCAAGCAAAGCCACAGCGCAATAAAACGTCGGCGAATGCTGTTGTTACACGCAACTTAAGCATCCATCGTCTGCAGAACGCAGGTTGTTACGGATCCGCGGTCTCACCACGGACACGTAGCAATCTGCCTGATCTGTGTCGCGAAGACTTGCTGGCATCTTTGCTTCCGGCCCCGCTCATCCTCCTGGCTGTATATGTCACTGTTGAACGAAGGAATGGAGAGCTCCGCATTGTTCTTTATTCCTTCCCTCAAGTCATCCGCGTTGGCCCCCTGCAGATGGCAGATTGCTACAGATCCGTGCGACACAGATCAGG